GTGCTCCGTGTGTTGCAGAAGCAGTGGCCACTGATGACGAGTGTAATTTTTTTGTTCTGGGAAAGAAAATCTACAATCCGTTCACTACCTCAAGCGTAGACGTTGAGATCCCTTGTGTCTATGACCACTCAAACCCAAGATTTGCTGCAATCGCTGAAGCGTCAAAAAAGGCACCGATCTTTAGCGCTGCTGGAGAATTGTTCATAGGCGAGAACCTTGCACAAATAATTTGCACCGAGGTCGATTGGGTATTTCCAAAAGTGAAGAATGAACAGGCTTCGCCTGGAAAAAGCATGCGCAGGCAAAAGTTTCTGAGCATAGAGGAGAAGTACGTAGGCAAGAAATCAAACAATAAACGCAAAGTCAATAATGCGTCATCATCGTCGTCGTTTGCGTCATTGTCATCGTTTGCGTCATCATCCACATCACCGTCGACCTCAACATCAGCCGCCGCCACCAACACCGCGGAAAACAATAAAAGACAAGTAGTGGTGGTTGATGACAATGAATCTCACAAGAAAGTTTGCACAGAGCTGAGTCCACCGAACAGGCCAGTCACAAGAGCAAAAGCCTTACAAACTGCGATAGATCAAGTTAACAGAAAGGGGAAAGGACCCGAATTGCCGTGTTCTAACGACGAAGAGGAAGACCTTGATCTTGATCACCGATCAAACAATGAGGCGTACAGCGATGATGAATGATCGATGTTTTTGGCTTGCTGTAATGAAGAAGTAAAAAAATTATTTTTTTTAATATAGATTATTTTTTTTTGTGATCAATCGATCGATTTTACTAATTTGAAAAACAAATAAAGAACAAAAATCTAATCTCCAATCCTGATTTGCGTAAAACGTGATGATGCTCACCCTTGATAAATTGTATAAAAAGAACGCGTTTGGGACATCTTGCCTAAAAAATAAATTTTGTTGAAAAAAATTTGTCAATACAAAATAAAAAAAAAAACCATGAATAATTATCCCATTTCGGATTTTATCATTCCTGATCCCGATACTCGTCGTGTTAATAATAATAATAATAATAACGCTCGTGACGTTTCGTTCCTTTCTGCATATGTGGATCGTAACGAAGTGAATCAGAACTTGCCGAATGCTCCGCTGAGTAACCGGCCGGTGTCCGCTTTATCATTGCAGCCATGGCGCCCTTCAGAAAAACTTTTAGAACTTTTAGACGAATTCGAAAAAAAAATACTGTATGATCACCCATCTACTCCTTGCGCCTATTGTTCTATCCTAATGATGAGCACTGCTGCGAAATGGGTTGATTACGACCCTGATGAAACTTACGACCTAACGACAGCATTCCCCAAACTTCAGCTACCTTTGCGTATGAACAACAGAGACCGTACCAAGATTGCCGTTTGCTCGTCGTGCAAAACGGTAAAAAACCGTCGTTTCCCACCTGTATTAGCGGCAATACCCGAAGAAATCAACACGGTTCCAATGGTGTACCGTAAGCATATATCTCCGATTCACATGAGCTGTTCGCTGGGACGTGCGTCTGGATCCAACCATTACACAAACTATCGTCATTTGCAAGGCTTCATCGGACTATCAAAGAATAAGCATGCTTTGAATCTGCACTCAGGCATGATTGGTGCTTTCCTTGATCAAGGTACCGAGCCACCTAATTGGTTTCATGAGAGCTTGATAAATGCAAGCCGATGGCTAAAACAAAACAACCCAATATTTAAACGATACAACAACAATCGCGCCATGACACGTTCTTCGCCCTCTGATCCATTTCCAGAGCCTTTGCCCACAGCTAGGCTGGTTTCTCGATCCATTGATCACTTACCATCTAACCAACACACTGCGCAACCACCCTCCTTGGTCGTCCCAAACGATGACTTTCCAGCACAAATCCATGACGAAGACTACAGGTATGAACGCTTGATGGCAGGGTTCATGGACTTGGATGATGACCTTGTGCTTCCGATTCAGCTCAGTAATCCAGACGTTGAAGCGTTGGTCTTCCCTGATCTCTTTCCCACCGGCCGTGGTCACTACGAAGATGTGAAAAAGTTGCTAAGCTTTAAACAAGTCACAGACAGTTATGGAAAGTATGTTAAGTTAAGAATGCTGTGTCCTGATCCACGGTTTCGATTGCATTGGTATTGGCCACATTATTCTTACATGAACATAGAAAAAAAACGGAATTACCAAAATCGGAACAGAATTTTGAATCAGAAGAATGTCGCTCGCGACTCACCCCTTACCAGAGCCGACTTGATATCATCAAGCGTGTACACAAGTCGCCCCATCATAAACGAATCCTTAACCACCACGCTACCTTCATCTATCAGAACGTCCGCGCCTTTTTTCAAGAAAAAACAGTATCAAGTCAACACAATGATCCAAGCTTATGGCCTGCCCCAAATTTTCTACACCATGACAGCCGCAGAAGGCAAATGGCGGCATCTGAAAGAAATCTTAGAATGCACCGACAACAAAGATCCACTCCCAACAAACAGACCGTTGCACGTGTACCTCCATTATCACAACAGGTTGGCAAACGTGCGCAATAAACTTTGGAAAGATCCAGGTCTTGTGCAATGGGGTAAGCTCCTACACTATTTTGAAAGGGATGAATTTCAGAACAGAGGAACCATCCACACGCATGGGTTCGCCTACACCGAATCTTCGATCCAAGGCTTGATTTCGGACAATGCGATCCGTGCGGACATGCCTCACCCGGTCCTTGAGCCTGAGCTTCACTGGCTTGTCACAACGTTCCAAATTCATAGATGCGTTGCGGAAAAATGCAGAGGTCCAGGTACGAATTTGCAACCGTGCAAAAATGGATTCCCTCAACCGCTTTCAAACGACACGTACTGTAGGCCAAATTCCAAACGATACGTCTATCGAAGAACCAAAGAGGAAGACCGCTGGGTTGTGCTGTACCACCCTGAGACACTTTTGATTTGGCAAGGACACATCAACTTCCAATACATAACGACCCTTGGGTTTGGAAAATACGTGACAAAGTATGCCACCAAGCCTGAACCCACGGAAATCTTCAACGTTAGCGAACAAGATTCTTACAGCAGACATGTCCAGGCTAGGAGGTTAGGGTCGATGGAACTCATGATATTGCTTTTGCAATATTCCATAACAAGGTCTTCCGCTTCCGTTCAATATCTTCCATCAGCCCCTTCCGAATTGAGAATTCGTTCGGTCAAGCCCGTTCACATGCAAATTGAGGAGCAACAAGATGACGATGAGGATGAGGATGAGGAAAAACCGTATTTTGATGATGCGATAGACAAGTATTTTGATCGGCCAAGTAATGAACTTTTCGAAAGTTTAACTTACCCTGAATACTTTCAAAGATTTAAAGTCGGGGGTTGTCCACCGGGAAGAACCTGCAAGCTTTACTTGACGAGAGATCTGAAAAATAGATTTGTTGCTGAAAGGACCAAGCCGTTGCTCGTGAGATTTACGAATTATAATGTTGACGATGGAGAGCCGTTTTTCTATCAGCATCTTATAATGAAACATGCCGTTCGCACCGAGGTTGATTTGCTAGGAGGATTTACAAGTTATAGGGATAGGTTTAGAAGCCTGTACCCGATAAGGTACGAGCAGGCCGTGTTGAGATTATCAAAAAGTTCCGTTGCCGGCAAATTCCAACTTTCTGAAGCGTTCAAGAGAGTGATTGAACACGTCCTGACAGATCTACAAAAGAACGATCTCTGGGACGTTATATATAACCAGCTTATCTCGTTGGAAAAGCCTTCTCTTCGAACAGCCTCCACACTGATGCTTGATCACGACCAATACAAAATATACAACACGCTTTGTAATTCTTGGGGCCCCGAATGCGAAAACAAGTATCCGTACTTCTTCATGACCGGATCTGCAGGTACTGGAAAAACATTCATGACTTTGAAAATGATAGACATGCTGAAAAAAAAGAAAATCAATTACCTGTTGCTGGCACCTACAGGTGTTGCGGCACAGAACGTTGGTGGGAGGACCATTCATTCAACCTTGAGAATAAGACAAACAGATGGCCACTACCAGTCCTTGTCCCTAAGTACTGAGTCCTCGAGAGAAGCTCTGCTGAAGATCAAGGCTGTTGTGATAGAAGAAGTATCGATGGTTTCCAATGAGCTGTTTTCGTTCCTGAGTAACCTTTTTGGTTCGTTGCACAACAACCACAAGATCTTTGGTGGAATTTCGGTGCTGTTGGTTGGTGATCTTTTCCAACTGCCTCCCGTAAACGGAGAACAGGTTTTCTTTTCACCGGCGTGGAAAGCGTTTTTCCCTCTGTTCTTGTCCAGGCCACAACGACAGAAGGAAGATTTGGATTTTTTCCATTTGCTTGAGGAGTTGAGATTTGGGCACCTCTCACAAAAATCAAAATTGTTGATCAATGAAAAGGTAGAAAGATCTCAAAATTCCAGGGCGATGATAAACACCACCCACGTTGTTAGTACCCGTGAAATATCAGACCAAATAAACGCCTTCGTTTGTGAGCACTTACCTTTCGATGACCGATGCTCTGATCCTGTTGTTTCCTTAGCAGTTGACACTTTAAATCATGAGAGGATCGATGGTGGGCACAACTTGCCTTTCAAAAATCACACAAATCTCCAAAAATCCGTTACAATCCAGGAAGGGGCGAGGGTTATGTTCTTGAACAACCAACTCTTCGAGCACAACATCTGCAATGGGACGATAGGAGTGGTAACTAAAGTTA